TAATTCCATCAACGACAAAATGAGCTAGGAGTGGTAGTGTTTCTAGTATTTCCACCTGTCTTCATCATTTACATGCATAGGATCTGTTTCCCCCATCCTATTTTCAGCTCAAGCCTCAATTCATAATGCGACATTACTGTTTCACCGGGTGAACAGGAACTCCTTCAATGCTCAACTGCATAATCATGGATTGTCAATCGAAATCAAATAACAACCGTTTTAACATTTCGATGATCATTCCATGTTTCCCAGAACGTTGAGAGGGAGTCAAACTAAGGGCTGAACATATCCGCTCAAAAGTGCAATCGATAAGACGTGTAAAGAGGGACAACTAGCTTCATTGGATTCCCTAACTCGGGATGGAGACTGATGTCAGTTAGAGCAATTTCTTATCACAACCTCTCAAACAAAGATGTGCATGAACCTCTCTAGTTCTCGAATGAGTATTGAATGAAGAGACAATGAAGCAATGATAGAGATTCTACAGAAGAAGACGACGAAGCAGAAGAAGAAGAAGAAGAAGAAGAAGAAGAAGACATGAACATGCGTAGAGAAGAACGAGGGGAAAAACTATGTATATGATGAGTAGTTTGATAGGATGGAATAGCCTATGTCAAGCTTAATAGCTATTTTAAGAGCTGAGGCAAGATCTTCAAATAGAACGTGACGTTTAAATTGAGCGCCAAAAATTTATTTTCGTGTATACGCGGACGGGGAGCGGTTGCGTCTGGCTGTGATTTTGTTAAAAAAATTGAAAACAAAGATTATTTATGTGAAGAAAAGTGAGAAGATTTTATAATTTTTATAGATTTCTAATGAGAAGCGCTCAAAGATATTTCGAAAAAAAGAAAAGTTTAGAAAAATGAAATGAAATTACGTTTGAATGGAGTATTGTGGAAACAAGAGAGAGAGAAAGATATAGAGATAGAGAGAGAGAGAGAGGAGGTTTGGAAGGGAGGGAGAGAGAGGGAGAATATTTCATCATATCTTTCGTAAAATATGCATGCAACGGGCAAAGTGTATTGGAGGCAAAGGAATATTGGATGATAATTAAGAGAGTAAGGGGAATAAAGGTTTATATTTCATAATCGTTCCTGTAACTTCTTGTTATTTCAAGTTATATGGGGACGAGACAGACGATCTTTATTGATTTCATGACTCATAAACTTGGCACTATGAGTAATTCTCCCGTATGAGGCATTGGCAAGGCAATCGCTGAGCATTTAACATGATGCCCCGCTCATCGGATTAACCACATTAGATGCCGCACACGAGTTTTAGGCACAAAACGAAAAATAGGCTGAATGGTAATCTTTATCATCACTATTGAGAATAGAAAAGGAGATGGTGAGGGAGGGGATGGTGTTGGTGGTTGTGATATTTCATTTTGAAAATCTCATTTGGTTTGTTTACTGTGCTGGAAGAGAAGGTAAATTTGGATTCGGATGATCATTGGTTTTGGTTTATGACTCAAAAACAATCTGATTATGAGGAAATGAATCAGACGGCCAGCAAGATGGTTCGAAGAAGCTGATCTTCTGAACTTTTCATTTTTGTTTTCTTTTGTATGTGTCTTGCCTCTTTGATCTTTTGAAGAGGATTAACTATCGTCTCATGTGAGCTGTGTCCGTTGTGTAGGAATGAGCATGAACGACATTGGAGCAGCTTTTTCATCTCACAACGAAGTCGGTGAAGCCTTCTCATCAATCACCGTATTGAGTTATAACAAATGACAGAAATCGGGTATTTTGATGAGTTTTCGCACACGTTTAAACCGTGTGCGCAGCGGAATCCCCTTCATAAAATGAAATTTTTTCCTCATAATCTCAGATTTCAATGTAACGATTTATTCTTTTTTCTCAATCTATGTCATAGAAGATGAGAAACAGACGATATGCAAAGGTTTACCAACAGCGGACATCTACGCTACAGATCTGTGCCATCCTCTCTCTTTCTCTCTTTCACCTTATTCATATACAGACACAAAGAGAGATAGAGAGAGAGAGGGGATTCTATTGCAACTCTCGAATGAATGTCACCATCTCATGGGTCAAGTCTTACATTTTTTTCAGCCATTTCATGGAATTTCTGTAAATATAGAAGCATGATTTCGATTGATGGAAGGAAGAGGGGGGAGGCAACACACGTACCCTGTGAAACAGGTCCCTCCTCTTTCTCTCTCTTTCTCTCTCTCCCTTTTTATGTATCTTATATACTCTCTCGTTATTGCTATCTGTCTCTACTGTCCCTCTATGTTTCTTTCTGATGTTGTTCCTTTTCGTTTCTTCCAAATCTCCTGAATGTCCTCTGTTTTGAATCTTCAAACTGTTTTTTTCTCTTCAAAGAAGGAAGAAGACGATGAAGAAGTTACGAGCGGGTTAACTCTCGCTCTGTAAGTTTACGAAGTTCTTCATAACCGATTACGATTCTTCTTGCTTTGCATCCATCCGTCCGTCTGTTGCTTCCTGATTCATTGTCATTTTAATTTGAAAAATAAAAGTTTTCATTCTTTGAAACTTCTTTTCAATCATAAACTTCATTGAACAACTTGTAATATCAGATTAACATTCGTTCATCTTCTATTTCGATGGAAGTTTTCTTGTTCACAGAGAGAGAGAGAGAGAAAGGGAAAGAGAAAGAGAAAGAGAGAGAGAGGGGGAAGAGGATTTATCGATTTTTCATTGTATTATCCTCTACCGGTCATACCTCCGTGACCAGACGAGGTGGACTAAACGAGGGAATCAGAGACATGTTTAGAGAGAAAGAAAGAGGAAAGAGAAGAGTAGTAGCTAGCATTTGGACAGTCGATTCCACTTCATCCAGCCTAGTTCTTCCTGTGTCTTTAATATGTAAAACTATTTGTGGGCGTCAATTATAAACAAAAAGTATTTAAAATAATGGAGTACACATCGTCTTGATCCATCCTTCCTAACTCTGTTGCTTCAATTGCTATCTCAGTCATCCGTAGTATATACCAAGCGATTCATCTGAGAAAGATCAATTTCATTCTACATTCTTGTTTTCCTGTAACTGTCGCATTGTTTTTGATATGCTGAATCTTCATTCTCCTACTGAAAATCTGTTGTTACTATTTCTATACCTATAAGGTCATTTGCACTTTAATACTTATAGTCCACCTTCTCCTTCTTCGTCTTCATCTTTACCCTTTACGTGGACTACACGTGAGATTCATTTTTACATCTTCATATCGTTGCAATCGGCTGTGTTTTCTATTTTTTGTATTTCCAACCATTCTCTTATTTTTTTCAGTTCAAATCTTCGTCGAACAAAAAAAAGAAGAAGAAGAAAATAGTTTTATAGAAGGAACAAGTTCTAATTCGTTCATCTAATGTGGGATGAGCTAAGTGATATAGTGGCCCGTACCATAAGCCGATTCCCATATACGTCAATTTGTTGTATGTTTCAATTCACAAAATCTTTTTTTTTATTATATCCAACCTCTCCTATCCGTCCGTCCGAGTTATGACCGTGCAGCGAACGAGGAGTGAGAGACAAAAAATGAAATAACCCAGATTAAATAATTTCAATTTAAAAACCCTACTCTTCATCAACACTTTCGACACTGGGCTATGTAAACGTTGACGGCTTAGGAGTTCTCTTCATCATCGCTAGTTTTTGATTTCAGTCCATTCAGCCACATGTTCTAATGAGAACTATGATTTGATCACTTCTTTTTTTTCTTTTCAAACTTGAGAACGAGAACGATTTTGAAGACCTTCAGTAATTCAAAATATATTGAAGTATGAAATGACGTGATTGCTGACCGGTTCCTTTCTCTAACCAGCGACTATTCAACACAATCACTTATAAGACAAGCTTTGGATATCTGCCAGATTGGACTGATTGTTTGCCTCTGATCTGGGGAAGCGTTTTTATGATTCCTAATCATCGGTTCGAAAACGTAATTCGGGTTTAGAAGCAACATTTCGCAATAAAAAACTGAAAAGAGCAAGAACCAATGAACATGACGGAAGTGAGAGTAACGTTGAACACATCTTGATACATTTCGAATCAAAAACCTTGTCACCACTATAACACTTACCGCCGCACTCATATAAGTTCAGATGTTGATCTACGTGCGATGACGTGATTGAAAGAATCATTTCTTTTGCCCATACAGTTTCTTTAGTGCATTTGCTGAAGTTTACATTTGGGCATTGTCCGACGAAACACCTTGGCATCTATGTTGTTCGTAGTATCTATAACAATCACAATCGTCTACAAATACAACTGTAGTTAAACAAACTATATATGGCTTGGCTTTCGTTCCAGAATTGGTTTTATGATTATCGAATCCCCTGGTGTGATTATTCACAACAGGACAGACAACATGCGAGTGCGAAATCATCTGACGAGCTGTTTTGCTCGTCAAACGAGTTTTACTCTCCTTTTTGAACGAGAAAATGACAAACAATTGTCTACTTTCGAGGGAGTATAAACGATTTTTTGTATTCATATACAACAAAAACCTATATTCCTTAACAAGCAATCCATAAAATCTTAGATGACAGAGAGAGAGAGAGAGAGAGGCAGAGGGAGGGAGAGGGAGGGAGAGGTAGAGCATCTATTACAAAGGAAAACAACATTCAAACTTACAAATTCGTCATTTCAGTGAGTGTGCTTGCTTGTATATTTTGTACTTCCGGTCTGCATAATGTACACTTCGAACAGGATATTCGACGATCATTTTCACCCGAAGATTCAGAAGCTGGATAGTAAGTCAATTACATACAATACATCTGAATATGGATTATTACGAAATGGAAATAATAACATCAACAATACACAACCGATCATACTTGCGTATGCAATGTAAAATGAAAAATTACAAATGAACTACTTCGTTACGTACATCTATCACGTCGTTCTTATGCTAATTAGATGTTGTCGTGTTAGATGTTCATTTGGAACTCGCTTCATTAACAATCGCGTTATGCAATGCTTTCAGTGAATCGCGAGCTTTTCTTCAATTTCATAATTTGACAAAGTTCCCTCAAAGGGCTTTTGTAGTATTACAATCCAAAGATGGAGGGGATGTCTTCCGGGAAAAGCATATTCAAGAGGTTAACCTACAGATAATACCTTTCTTACTCTCTTGTTCAGATAATACGTTTCGATGATGAGATGACATTGGCTCTGAACCAGACAGATGAGAATGGTCAAGCTGCCTGTTCACCTTTGTGTAGTCTGAATCGACCATTTCATCTTTTACTGGTAATTCCGTATACATTCATTTCATTTCATAATTCTATTGATAGCAAGCAAAAGCTAAGAATGAGAGCGACGACATACGATTGAGTTTCCCAATCACTAGAATACAGAAACTGCCACTCTACTTAGGATTGCATTTGGGTCTGGTTGAGAAAGGTTTGATCGCTCTTAATCCTGAAAACGTTGGTTTTAAGGAGTCGATAGTAATGGTCAGCCCTCAATATCAGCTAAGTCAGTCATTTTGTGGTATTTCTCAAGAGCCGATACACCAGAGAGAATCAAAACATATAGGGTACAGTGTTCACGTTGTTTCTTTCTCCAATTTTTCCGTTCAGGAGGTTACACTCCGATTCTTTGAGTTGAGTATCAATAATTCCTATTCTGAACATATCAACGTCACCATTTTCGGGGATGAGATTGCTAATCATGAAATGGTGCGAGGGGCCTTAGAGGTATCATCCAAGGTTTAGATACTTCAAACGAACTGGCTTATTTCAGGCGACAGTTCTAATGTCAATCGGCTTCATCTTCTTACTCGTATTCGTTGTTATCGTTGTGTGGACCCAAACAGACAATCTGCGAATCATTCCTTTCCTAGGTTTTTCCTGCAATTTTGAACTATCTCGATGTATACTTTCTTCTAGTGATCGCTACTATCCTAACACCCTTCTTGGCTACTGTGTCTGCTTTTGGCTTTCTGGCTTGGCTGGGATATCCAATATACTCCATGCAGTGCGTGACTCCCTTCTTAGTTTTGGGAATCGGTAAGAGCTTAACCTCATATCCTTAACTTTTCTTTTAAGGTGTCGATGATGCTTTCATTCTGATGCATCGTTGGAGAGCAAGAAGACGAATAATGAATCCATCAGATCGTCTCCGGAGCGTCATTGTAGATGTTGGTCCATCTATCAGTATAACATCAGTAACCAATATCATTGCATTCGGTGTTGGTTTTGCAACTCCTACGCCTCAGGTTTGTTATAAGTGAATTCGAGTGTCAGATTGAGTGTTCCAGATGTCTCTGTTCTGTTTATCAACCTCAGTAGCTTTACTCTTCGATTATATTTTCACCTATACCATATTGGCTCCCGCAGTATTCTTGTCACGATCGCGAAACTATGAAGCTGTGGCTCAAAATCAAAATGAAAATCAAAAGCAGGAAAATGGAAATTCTGCGCCTTTGGCTATAAGTCAAGGAGAACAGGACATTGTCGAGCCTGATGAAGATAACAGTTTCATATCAAGATTTATTGTAAAGGTTAGATTCCTTCAACAGCCAATTCATCACTGCTCCTTGTTTCAGTACTCCTGTTTCCTCACCAGCTTGGGTGGTAGAGCAACGTGTAGCTTATTGCTCTGTCTTCTGTACCTTTTCTCGATATTTGGAGTTTTGGGCATGAGATCGACCTTCGAACCGGCGAAAGCTTTTCCCAGTGATTCTCCTCTAGTCAGTGCTCTGATTGGCATCAGGTTCGTTAGTGTAATAAGCTTTTGAATAACGTGTTTGAACTTAGGCCCGTGTTTGATACATTCTATCCCGTGCACATCTTTGTTAAGCATCCTCCTGTTCTCAGTAATGAAAAAGAGGTAAAGTTCCGATATGTTCTCTTAGGTATTCTTGTTATAGTACGAGGAGTTCTATCAAATGATTAGTCGTTTGGAAGCTATACCCGGTGCCTATTCTCGTAATTTGACTCAACTCTTCTTGATCCCTTACGAAGAATTTGACAAAAGAGTAAGTCGGTCTTAGTATTTCTTTTTATACGATCTTACTTGTAGACAACTGCTTTGATGAACAGTTTGTTCTTCCTACCAAGTGACAATTACAAACCAACAACTCATAATCTGCCCGATTGGTTAAGCTCTATTGGCAACCCAACTCATATCCGTGTACTTCCATCGAACAGCTCGAGGTTTATTAATACCCACACTTTCTTCCTATATCGTCCGTCTTAATTCAGTGAGCCAACTTTGTCTTCGTTTTCATTCTCGGTACTGGGTAAGGGAATGGCCGAATGGGCTAACAGAGCAGAATTTGTCCACTCCATTCGCCATACTTTACACCAATATCCACAGTTCAACGCGAGTTTGTTCGATGCCGACTCGGCTGTATTAGAACTCATATTAACGGCAAGTCTCCAGATATAATCTCTCATTCATTTTCGTTTCAGGTGAGAACTGATCTAATTGGTTCTATCGCTGTAACTGTGGCCTGCATGGCAATCGTTTGTCTATTGTTTGTAAGTAGTAAATGTGGCGTAGCAATTATAACCTACGTTATTGCTTCTGTTTGTTTTGGTAAGCTCATATCCCGAGACAGCTAGTGATCTTTCACGTTTAGTTCTTGTTGGCTGTTTGGCATGGTGGGGAGCTGATCTCGATCCTGTAACTCAAGTCGACGTATTGCTAGCCACGGGATTTAGGTAAATACAATATCTTCAAAAAAAATTTGACATGACCCACCCACAAAAAAGAAAAAAGCTAAACATTTTCAACCGTTTCTCACGTCTATGAATTACGAAATGAACAAGTCTTCACGTGACAAGGCACGTGAAAACGCGCGGGAAAGCGAAAGTGTTCAAACATATGTGTATTATTTCAGTGTTGATTATACCGCTCATATAGCTTATAAGTTTTATAAATGTCAAGGAACTGCAGTAGAGAAGATCGAAGCAAGTTTACGGGAAATGGCTTTGCCTATGGTCCAGGTTGGTTGGACACCTCTGACGGGTGTATGAGAATTTTGATTCAGGCGGGCCTATCAACGTTCTTATGCATGTTACCTCTGATTCTTGTTCCTACTTACACAATTGTTGCTTTTGCAAAAACAGTGTTCTTAGTTGTTGGAATAGGTCAGTTGATCTTTCATTCAAAACACAAAGTAACTTTTAAGGTCTCGTACACGGGCTGTTTGTTCTTCCTGTTCTACTCGGAGTAACTGTTTCGAACTCACTTGATGAGTTACCAAGTTTGGACAAAAGCTCACAAAGGATATCTCGTGATACAGCAGAAGAAATAATGGTCAGTAAGCGTGATTCGGAAGACTAAACTACGGCAAGAACATGAGTGAAGCAGGAAGTATTGTAATAACGTTAAACTTAAACAAGTTTGTTGATTTAAGTTCATATGTAACATTTGTATTTAAGGAAGACGAGGTGTACAAGATACATCGTCAATCGTTCTGTATTTATATTGCTTTTATTATAAATATTAAGATTTTTGATATTTGGACAGAGGAAGGGTTGTGTTGGAGAAAGGGCTAATGGGTTATTGAATTGACGACTATCGATATGTTTATTATGATGAGAAGTGATGAAGGTGTATACATGAGAAAGACAATATTGTCATCCGATTGGCAAAAGCGGAACAAAACCGGTTTGAATATCTGAAGGCATAGACGATGAATAGGCCAGACAATCGCTTTATAGCACAGAAAAGAAAAGAGATTGTCCATGAGAGTTAGCCAAATGAGACATTTTGTGTTGATGCGTCTAAATGCTGGACAGAGGACATTCTCTGTAGAAGAAGAGGTGACACACGGGAAGATATGAAGAAGAAAGAAGGTTGAGATGACGATGATATGTCTAGAGATGGCAATGTACGTCAGTTTGTATTGTCTTGACTTTGGCTTATCTGATTAATAGGAGGAAGAAGGCATGTTTCAATGGAATGCTGTCATGAGGCTTCACGTCGTACAACAAGCTGTATGCCTTGATAAATTTCTCGTAGAAGAAGAGAGTCGAAAATCACAAAAACGATGGAGAGGTGTGGAGTGTTGAAAGTTGGACGTCTTCAATAGAATTGTTGGCAAGTTTAATGACTTATTGATTTATTCATTTTCTATCAGCATGAGCTTGCTTCTAATTTCAATTGTCTCTCCTCTTAGTCTTTAAGCCCATTGCTACGTTCTCATCTCTCTCTCTCTCTTTCTCTCTCTCTCTCTCTCTCTCTCTCTCTCTCTCTCTCTCTTCGTTTTACATCGCTCTCTCTTTATCTTTGTATTACTTTTTGTATATCAA